CATGCTGTTTAGGTGAAAGTGGGCTTCGTCACTCATAGGAGAAAACGCGGTGCTCCACCGTCCAAGGCTTCATAACGACAACTGATAAAATAATGCTAGGATCTCACGAGTCAAACGGCACTCTCCCCACCTCTCTCGTAGACGGAGGCGGAGAGTACTACCTATCCCAAAAACTTCCGTCCTCTCTGCCGCACCCTGTACTATTGCGCATTTAAAATTCATCCAGGTGACATACGGATCCGTCTCCACTTATAAGTTATTTCCAAAAATGATTTCTGATAGTCCAGAAAGTCATTTATTATTTAATTGTCGAAATCTGAATGAGATTTTTGTCCTCATTTGCTAGTCAGCTTTGTACTACTTGCTGCTTTCTACAGATCTTAATATCAGGTGGAATAACATTGGGAGCATTTAGCTAAAAACGATAAACAAACGGTCCAGCTATGCAATTCTTTTTTGCAGCCTTGACACCTTGACAAATGTTGTAAACTGTCAAAGCTATTCAGATTAAAAGCGCTGCACTACTTTATATCAGCTGAATCCACTCATTGTTGATAATAATATTGACTACCAAGTGAGAATATATTATACGAATACAATATCATTATATTCCGCTCAGCTGATAAAATAATGTATAATTTCAGTTATATGCGATAATAATGCATTCAGTTTCATAACTTTCAATAACCATAAAGCGCACCCGTTCATCGGCTATTCTTAGAATGCGCTACAGTCCAGGAAGAGGTTTAATTGCAGAAACATATGTGCAGTAAGTGGAAACCTCTCTTCTCACTCCTCATAACCGAAATAATTTTAATCTCGGCCATAGACGTTGCAAACTTCTGTAGTCTGGCTTTCAATCATTCTAACCATGTGGTATGAAATATGTTGGTATAGGGTTACTGGTGAATTGCTGTATTTTAAGACAAAAGTTTTGGGGATTTAATAATTTTTGTCATAAACAATCATTTGAAATTGGCCATTTGAATCTAAACCGTACAAAAAATATGTAATAAATGCGCGAGGAATCAATTATTCTTTCTAGTTTATATTTAATTTAAGCTAACACAATAATTAAAAGTGCAAAAATGCTATACTCAATAAAATAACAGCTTTTCCTGAAAATAAAATGATTTTCAGCTTCCCTTAGAAAAAACCTCTGGCTGCCTGAGTCAAAAAGGTATTAAACATAAGTATGAAACCGTTAGTCTGAACAATCAAACCGATTTAGTCTAGTCAACTAATAGTCCATTAACTAAATGATATTTTTTATAACTATTTCTAATGAATATATTAATTTTTCATGAATGTTGGTCAATAAAAGCTTCTTAGATCGAAAGAGAGGTCTGTAATCACTTTCCAGTTGTTGATTTTGTCATCTTTGAGGTACAATATGCCCTTAGCAATTGTGCCCTATTTACGGCTAGAATATAATGAATCTCTCCAACCTGAACAGTACCCGTGCTACATATTTTGGATAGTAGTTCCAAAGAACCTAGAAAACTCGGCGACTAGAAAACGATTTTGATATTTTCGGTGTACCACAGTGGCGAACCTGCAAAGCCAAGAATGACAAAATCACCGTACTTCAATTATTGAGCAAAGTTGAATGTTTTTATGTGAGGCTATTAAAAACCTACATACAGAATACAAACAAATACTCAAACAGTTATCAGGCATAATAAAATTAAATAGGATAAAACATCTGAGGGACACTTTTACTCAGAAAGTGATTTCAGACCTCTATTCTCAAGAAGCTCGTATTGACCAAGGTTTGTGAAAAATTAATACACCCATTTGAAACTGTTACGAAAAATATTTCTTAGTTAATGGATTATTTGAACTAAACCAGTTTGATTAACTATTTGTTCAGAAATAAACGGTTCCATGCTTTTGTTTACTACCTTTTTGGAAATCTGACTATATGGGCAAGCTTTTCTGGCAATTTGTATGCTCAATGCACTAGCAATTTTTAGAACTAGATTCAATTTGTTTTATACGGAAAGCTGAAAACAAGAGCTAATTTATTTTTGTTTTAGTTGTTATTTTATTTTCATAGTATTTTTGTTATGATTGTATCAGCTTAGGTTGACTATCAGCTACGAAGATTAATTGAATCCTCACGCATTTCTTGCTTAGCTCAATTTCGAGTGACTGTTAAGGAATCCCAAAAATTGAAAAATCAGGGAAGTTAGTGATCTTCGCTCATATACCATATGGTGAAACTTGTTGCATTTGTTGCACATCCTTGAAGTGACACGGTTAATTATTACTAAGCCAGTATAGGAGAAATTTCTGGTAAGTTTGTTTCTTTCAAATTGTTAAATTTAGAACAGTATCCCTCAAACGGACGCCTATGTTTGTTACAGCTTGAGGTGTTGTACAGTTTTAGAAAATATAGATATAACAAATATCGCTTTTTGCAAATACACAAGATCAGCAGACGAAAAACATGGAACAGAAACTTTTCACAATACTCGGAAAAATAAAAAAAATGACGTCAAATAGGTTGTCGCTGTACTTGCCACTTAACGCCGTCATCAGTTCATAAAGGATTATGTTCAGGACAAGTTACCCCATATGAGGAAAACGTTAGTTACGAACATGTTCAACAGAGAAATTAAATGGACCAAGTCAGTCAAACAGACCCATACAATTAGTCTATAGATATGCTTTCCCCACCTTACTCGACACAGCACCACAACGGCAGTAATGCCAGGAAACTTATCAATACTGACACGCTCACCGGTGAACGAAAGCATTTGTCATTTGAAGATTTAACGATAAATGAGGGAGAATCTATGATGTGTAAAATGTGTCTGATAGGTGCGTGGAATTATCGACGAGAAGAGCGTATAAATATACTAACATCAAAAAATTGATATATACCCGTCCTCACCCCCTACAAACATCAACCTTCAATTTTCAACAACTACAAAAAAATATCTGAGAATGATTGGGAACCTCTGAAATGTCAAATAACGAAGTTCGCGCGATTAATATGTTTTCCGTTTTTACCCCGTAGCTAAGCTGTCACATGACCGAATTTCAAAATCTACAAACCTTTTCCGTTCTTGACACAGTAGTAACCTTGTGTGAAAATTTCATCCAAATCCTAGTAGTACTTTCCAAGTTATAGATGGGTCAAGGATTAGCGGACAGACAGACATACCGACGGGAATGAGTGACATGGTTCGTCGTGTACATGTCATATAACATTCAAAAAACATATCTCATTTTACCTCTTTCTTATTCAATGCACTAGTTTCACCCCACCCATTTAGTACCACTATCCGCCTATGTGCTAATGATATCACGGACATTCCTATCGCTCCACAGTATACGCTTTCTCGCATATGTGAAGGATGTTAATATTTCCGCAGGAACACGTATCTTTTTCAATCAGAAGGTTTTCACCAGATCAAAAATGAATTGGAGAATTGAAATCTACCACTTTATTTACAGTTAGAATGCTTCGTAACTAGTTCTTTTGACGGCTTGACTTGACATCAAAGACAACATCAAGTGGAGACTTCTATTCGTCATTGTCCATCAGAGCGGTCCGTGGGACCTCCGCTCTTTGTTAAAGTATCGTAGGTCAGTAGGTCAGGTCTGGTTTCCCAGATACCAGACGAAGTCAGGGAGAAAGAAAGGAAGAAGAAAGAAAGTAAGGAAGGAAGGGGGAAAGGGGTGCCTTGCTATTGTTAACTGGTGCTGGTTATTTTAAATTGATACAAAAATTATTTTAGGAACTTGTATGTGTGGCAAAAATCGTAATTTTGGTTGGATCTAGAATTGCACGATTTGATTTTGTTCACTGTGCGAGCTGCGGTCTTGTGTGCTTGCGAACTTGCTCGACTATGCAGTTCACTAACTCCCGCAACAGAGGGTTGTTGTGCGATTTCGCTTAACTATAACGTAACTGCGCCTGTTGTTTGATGTAGTCCCTTAGGTAAGGGATATCGAGGTCTCTGTGAAGGGTCTCGTTGGAGACATACCATGGTGCGTTAGTGACGGTTGGCAAGGTTCTGTCCTGCAAAACCTGCAGATTACGCATGTGCGTTTTGGCGAGAAAATACCATGCTGCACATCCGAAAGTGATTGCTCGTTTGATAACCATCTTATATAGCCAAACTTTGCTGGCCGAACTTAATTTTGAGGTTCTACATAGCATAGGGTAGAGTTGCTGAAACGTAATTTGGAATTTAATTTTCAACGCTTCAGTGTGCTTCTGCCAGGTCATCCCCCTGTCGAGAGCGATACCGAGATACTTGGTAGAATTTCCCCATGGTATGCGAGCTCCATTTACTGAAACCTCAGGCGGGGCGCCGCTACGTTTTTTAGTGCACTTTCGAGTAATTAATTTTGATTATCCACCGATCTGCCCATTCTAATACCTCATCCACCACACTTTGTAACCTGTCGTGAACCAGATTCCCGGAGCGCGACTGGGCCACCAGTGCAGTGCCATCAGCATATAGATAGACTTCACAGTCGCTAGGGCAAGGGACATTATGCGTGAAAAATGAGTAAAGGATTGGCCCTAGAACCGAACAGTGACGGATGCCGGCTCTGAGGGGCCATACTGTCGACAAGACATTATTAATTTTGATCCGAAATTTCCCACCTTCAAGGATCAATTGGAGGCTGCTATTACTCGTAATCCCTACGGCGCCGACGCTTATTGATTAATATCATAAACTGAAGACTATAAAGACGGAATATACTATATTGTCACGGCACCTAAATTCACGAGCTATCAGGCAAACTAACGAGCTGTACCGTAAGCAAAAATGAAAAGAACGTATTCAGAAATATAGCATTGTCACAAAAATGTCACACCAGACTGCTTCTTGCAACTACATAATCTCTACGTATCATAAAGTAGATACCTTAAGTGTCAGTGGTGTAAAGTTCATTGCGATCACAAGTAACAAATTATTTATCAACAGTTCCAGTGCTATGATAGGTGTAGATTGCTATATAAAATAGTGACTTACCCTACTGCACCATTTGAGAGAAGTTGTGTTTCTCTATCCAAAACTTCTTGAATATTTGCTGGGGAGTAAAGATTGATCGGCGAATTGAACTGTTTGTTCACAAGTCTTGGTTGTGTCGCCATTTTCTCGGTGGTTTCTATTAATTTGTTAGTTTTGCTTCGTTACTAATCTACCTGCAACAAGAATTAAACTCTATTCAAGTACATAATACCTTGATTTTATCACAATTTATAGTATTGCCAAAGCATTTTGATTGATCAAGGTGTTCTATTAACACCTGTTTTTGGGAATAGTACATGCGCTCCTATGAGAATCTTAGCATTTCCCATATGATTTCAATAATTTATTATAAGAAACAAAGTTGTATTAGTGTTCAAGAGACTGATCATATGAATTTATAGTATTGCCAAAGCATTTTGATTGATCAAGGTGTTCTATTAACACCTGTTTTTGGGAATAGTACATGCGCTCCTATGAGAATCTTAGCATTTCCCATATGATTTCAATAATTTATTATAAGAAACAAAGTTGTATTAGTGTTCAAGAGACTGATCATATGAATCGCTTCGAAATTCGAAAAATTTCTACTATCTCGTTCCTTAGCTGTTTATCTATGAGGTTGATAAAATTATTTCATTTTTGACAAGTTTATAAATACATGTTGTGCTTGTTTTTCGTGGTGCGTGCGACGATTTGTGAAAAAATGTGCCTTAACTGACGCCCTATTTCTACCTGAAGTACATTAACATCTTTTTATCTACTACGAGTATTTGGCGAAATGCGAAGCATAAGTATCATACCTGTTTGCTTATTTAGACTGATTATAAATACATATATACACTATCACAGCACAAGATCCAACTATAAACTATTTGGAATATTGTGCAACTTAATCTACAAAATCGTATAAATTTCACAAAATGACGTCATTATGGCAAGTTTTCTGGCCAACGCTGTAACATTGTTTTTCATGGAAACCTGATGTATTTTTAAACAGAAAATACATACGGTGGACGCTCGTCTTTTTATAGAATGGACTTGGCCGGTTTGAAACGTTTTTGTTCCATATTATGGCTTGGGTGCAGAATAATTATAACTTTGATTCATTATTTGCTTCGAATTCGGAAGAAATGGCATCAAGTAGATTGACTCTGTTCTTTCCACACAACGCTGCCAACAGTTCGTAAAGGATTATTGTAAGAAAAACAGTTGACTACAAACATTTATAATACAAAAAGAGCAGGTCCATACCCTATTTGATAACGCTACGATCTAGAAGCGCCTTCACTAACCTGTCTAAAAGTATCAACCATTGGGCAGGATTTTTGGAGGTGCCAGGATAAGCTCGTAGCGTACGGCAAGTGCGACACGTCCGTTTCATACTTCTTAGGTTTTAGGAGCAAGGGAGCAGAAACTTATGAACTATTAACAAAAATTTGAGATGTACTCCACCACCCCTCACAATCCGAACCCCGAATTTATAACTCCTAAAGAATTTTCCCGGAAGCCTCTGAAAAGTCAAAAAACGAACTGTGTATGATTTTAATTTTTTTTGACCATAGTTTCTCCGCCACTGGAGCGTTTTACAAAATATGTAAAGCTGTTTCGTCCTTTGCATAGTAGTAACGTTTTGTGAAGATTTCATCCAAATCAGACTATTAATTTCCAAGTTAGACGTGTCAAGGATTTGCGGACAGTCCAACAGACAGACCGATAGGCAGACCGACATGCAACACGGACAGGCAGACCGACTGAAACGAATGACGTGGTTTTTCGTGATGTATACATGTCATATAACTTCCAAAACACTTCTCGTTTTCGAAATTTTTCGCGATTACAATACTTTCTCACCAGTAGGCATGGGAAGTAAAAAACAACGAATTACTAATTTGATATTTCATGTTTCTTGCGGCATGGATATTTTCTGGAGGGTATTCTCATTCTTCAAGCACATGGCGTTTATAAGCTGCTAAGTGAATATGGCGTCATTTGTGTTCCTATAGATGGGTGAATGCTCTTATGTCTGTTATGAAAATACTAGTGTTCTGAATATCGGGCCTACTGATCTAATTATCTTAATATGTGTCAATTACTATTAAATTAATTATTTTTGGCTCGCACTGTGAACAAAATTGAATCGCTCAATTTTGGATAATATAAAATTATATTTTAACAAAACTCCAACTAAATTCATTTTCGTCATTGATAATTATTACAGTAACTTTCAGCAAAGCTCACACGCCTTTTCTACCAGCTGCATTTCATACTCTTTGATCTCTCTCTTTTTTCATTCTTTTTTCTTCTTCTGCTTCTTTCTATAAAATCATGTCTGGTTTCTGGGGGACCAGGCCGACTGAATAAGAAACTGACTGACGCATTTCGACACAAAGGCAAAGGTCCTACGGACCGCCTTGACAGACAAGGTCCTACGGACCGCCTTGAGAGACAAGAACGACTAGAGATTGATTATTCTTAAACATTTTACAAGATGATAGCGGAACTGCTCTCAAAAACAAAACAAAAATATCAGGAGAATCCAAACACCCCATAAGAAAACAATATTGGTTATATTGTAATAAACACGATCACCCTGTGCAATACATATTTTACAAGAAGCGCCAGTAGAGAAACAAATCAAACTATCTATGAAATCTATCGAAAATTATAGTTTGATCTCCATCATCATTCATTTATATATATATATATATATATATATATATAAATATATTATATATTATATATAAAACTTAAAGCTTCCGCCTTTTGTTGGATACTTCGACAAAATTTAAGCAAGGATGACTCTTTATACTTTTTTATTCTCTCTAGCTTTCAATGGTCTTTGCCATCATCATCAGGAGAGTAGTATGTGAGGATGTTGCTAATTGTTGTTTACGTTAAGGATGGGGGAAACACCCAGTAACATGGTGAAAGCAGCATAAATGGTACAATGGTCAAAATTATACAAACTACACACATCTATATGACAAGAACTAGTTAAAAACAGATTACAAAGTATTTAAAACGAAAGTTAAGCATTACATCGTGAAGCCACTTGATGATTGCAATCAAGTTAAAAAAAAAGTATATAAATAATAATGTGAAACAATGTTTTTCAAATTTTCGGGGTGGTCCATTCAGATGACATTAAGCAGACTAAGCTGAGCCCTACTTCACCCAGCTCTGACTCTTTTTTTCACTAATAACCTAAGAAAGCGCCATTATTCAACGCATTGCTCGACGAAGAAGCTACATTTTCCGCTAGGTACATGCATTTTTTTAATAATCATTGAAATCTAAGAATACAAATGATAATTTCTTAACTAAGACAATGTTAATGCTAAAGAGAGGTCAAGACGACCTGTTATACTGAGGTAATTTCAGAAAAATAATAATAACGAAAGATGACCCGTCATTGTGTAGCTTCTATCTCTGAGGTTCCTCTAAAATAGAACAAGTCTACTCTTTAATTTGCAGCTACATTATTTACCAGATTTAAGTTTTTGTGCTATTTTAAAGTATTCCTTGAGAATCTTTTTAGTCACCCAGTATCTCAGTATGTTTCTCATCAGGAGAAAAAAATGCTAAGGATACCTGAAAGCAATCCAAAATATAAGCCAGGTCTGAGTCACGCAAAATAATTAAGCATTACTTATACTAGACGTATCGAAGTGACTCACTCGATAAATTTTTTTGGCACAGAATTTGTTTTGCATTGCTGTTCTTATATTTGTACGATTCGGTTCACTGCGAGAACAGATGTTGTGTGTCTGATAGGTGTAATAAGAGATAGACGGTAATCATTTTCACTTCCCACTGGCAAAAAAAGTAGGTATTGTAATCGAAAATGAGATTTTTTGGATGTTATATCACAACTACATCACGAAAAACCATGTGTCTCATTCCTACCGGCCTGTCTGTCCCTTCTGTCTGTCGGTCTGTCTGTTTGTCTGCTAATCCTTGGCCCGTCTTTAACTTGGAAAGTATCTCTCGGATTTTGATAAACATTTCCCTTGCAGTTACTACTAAGGAGGAAATAACTTTTTAGTTTTCGAAAATGGATCCAGTGACGACGGAGCTAACGGCCAAAAAGAAAAAAGAATAATTGCTCAAAGCTCTTTTTTTAACCTTTCAGAGACTCTCGATCGTTTTCAGAAACAAGGTTAACGGTTTAAAATTGAGGTTTAACAGTTGTAGGAGTGGGGAAGGGCTTATCTCAATTTTGTGGGCTTAGTATATGTACTTTTACGCTTCCAACTCCGGTAATTCTACGCACCTATTAGACATACTTCACACATCATAGATTTTCCCATACATTTGCCTTTAAAACAGAAATATTTTCAACAAATGCGTCTCTGGATATGCCTCTCATCGATGAGTGTCTGTGTTTCGCAGTGAGTGGTGGCTGCTATGGTGCCGAAGCTGTCGTGTGACGAGAGGTGAGCGGAAACGTATGGACGAAGTCATAGCAACCAGATGGTCGTTACTGTCGGTAGAGCAGGAAAAAATTTTATTGACTAACTGTATGCGCCTGAATGACTGAGTTATTCATATAGCTAACTCCCTTTCAGAGATGCTCACTTATGCCGAACATAATCCTTTATGAACTGTGGACAGTGTTGAGTGAGAAGTGCACAGTCAACCTACTTGATACCATTTTCTATCTCTGCGCTCCCCTCCCCTCCTTGGCGCCCAAGTCAGCAATTTTTTTTCAAGATAATGGTATATATTGCTCTATATTGGTAAAAAATTACGTTGCTAGACCTGAACCGTGAGACGCAATAAGCCGCTCCCTTCCCCATGACACATTTCACCCACTCCACGTTTTTCAATTGTGACAAGGGCATTTGCTCTCAAAAGCGTGACTTGAGTACTTAAGCGTGCCCGATACAGCCCCTCCCCAAAACATTTTTTCTATTGTGTTCTAAAAATGAATGACAATTTGAGGTTTTGCTTCAGACTTGAGCATAGTGCAACAGAAACTGTTGCTAAACTTCAGCAGGTTGTTATACGTATAGTTTCTTTCTATGGTCAACAAAAAAAAAACTATATCTTGATAAAGTAAATTATTACAACGTTTTTCTTATTTTGAATAATAATTTTATAGCAGTTCTTAAAATATTAAATTTTATTTTTATAGCAAAACACTTCTCTTGGTCTAATAATTCTATGGTAG